ATAAATATATATTTATATTCATGTATTTTACATGCAACCGAGTATAAATGAACAACAATAAGAGAATATTTGCAAGAAAAATAAGAGAAAATAAAAGGAAAAGAGATGACAGTACGTAAGAGATAAGTTAAATGTTATAGATTTTAAATGAAACATATACGTAAATATATATACAAAGATGAAAGATGAAGAAGAAGCGCGGCATACTTGGCTAAGAGAGGCCCAGCACCAACCAGCCCCCCACCCCACTCCCCTAAAAAAAGAACAAAAACAAAATTTAAAAAAAAAGTAATAATAATAATAATAAATCAGATGCTAAAAATACAATACTTAATGAATTAAATGTGAATTGTCGTAGCAACGGATATACGTAAAAAATGGAACGGAGCGCGTCAGCGTTAGAATTTATTTCACTCTACAAACTTACCTACTACTTACTTGTGTAATACACATACATAAGCGTGTGTGTTTTATGTATATGTATTAATAAAACACTACATTACGATTATTGTACATTCTTGTGGCTTTCTTTACTTGACCCCTCACCAGAGCCTCACAACCTAATTGACATTAATAATGTTTTTTCTACTCCTAACCTAACTCATGTATAAACGGAGCAAGCAATACCCGAAAAAAAAATTAATAAATAATAAAATAAAAAACACACAATTCAGAGAGCGAAACTTCTATTGTCATTTTGTGTAGGGTAATCCAATCGTTTGTACTCGCATACTATGTAATTCTAATTTAACGCCATTCTATGTTAGATCCGTAAGTTGTAAATTATCAATATAAAATATACGTACTTTAAATAAATGGAAAAACAACCAGTGAGAATGTGGTAAACAAAATAAAATAAATACAAATTTAATTGAAAACTCGAGAACTTTGAATTATCTTAAATGCGGCACACAGATGGCGGCACACAATAGCGCCATCTAGTGCTCAATATGCTCGGCTTGGCACAGGCTAGCAACAGCTGACTGCTGTATGATGTCAGTGTGCTTAGTTGTTCTACTGGCCGGTAGGTAGCGCCACCAACTAGTTCATCCACCTTGCATGAATGGCATTCATCGTTCAGCGCATGTTGGTTCATATCGATAGTTTGCATTTATATAAAATGTGTGAAATGCATTTAAACAGTTTCTGATTTTATAGATAAATTAAATGCAATAAATATTTTCAAATATGTGGGTACGTAAATAATAAAAAAAAGTTGTTTTTATTAGTAGTTGAAGACTATGAAAAAACTGAATATCTGTATTTACTACTATTTACTTATTGTAAAATTTTAAATAATATTAAGTTTACATAAATTAAAGTTTTTGCATAAATTGATAAACTTTTGTTAAGTACATTTATAAGAGAGGCTTCTCTTAAATCCTCAAATAGCGCTGATAATCTCTTTAAAATTCTAGATGCGCTGAGCATCTACTTCTGAAAACTTGTTTTAGCACTTAACAATATCAATTCATACTCTTACCAATGCACAGTATATCGAATTTTAAATGCTTGAAATTTTCAAAATTAAATGATCAAGATAATTATTATTTACACACTCTAGATTATATTAGATGCATTTATGTATATAAATATATACTTATATATGAACAAATAAATATTTTGTTAGCTGTCAGAAAGTCTTAGAAACATAACCCTGAAGAGTCTTAGAGCATTTATACTTCGGTATGCTGCAAATCTCTTCTCTCATATCAAATGCTGTTTTAATATTTTTTTCAACTCAGTTCTGGTTGTGCTGTCGATGGGTCCGGTGCTTCCCAGTTGCACGATCCTCTTAGTTAAATCGTAATAATATATAAAACAACTAAAACAGTGCAATATAGTATATATTTTATTATATATAWTATTGTATGTAGTTGATTCTTCGAATTTTGGCATGATATCAAAGCACCTAAAGTCACATTTACTATGCATCTGCGTGACTCTGTTAAGCTTCAGTGCAAGTAAGTAAATTATAAAATATATTAGAGTACGGTATAAGTCTTAGCGCATTTAAATATATTATTGTTGCATGTCTAGGGTGATAATACAAAAGTCTGCTCTGTGATTGTCTGTCAAGTCAAGAATATCTTTACTTTAAGAGAAGAGAGTGTCTGTGAGAGTGAGAGTACACTGAGAGACAGAGAGAGAGAGAGAGAGAGAGAGAGAGAGAGAGAGAGAGAGGGGGAGAGAGAGAGAGACAGAGAGAGAGCAAGTTCTCTGTTATTGTTTTTGCTATCGGTTTCACATTAGATGACTGGTATATCATAAATGTAGATAGACAGAAGCCGAGTTTAAACGCTGCAGACTTTTGTAGTTGTCTAATCTACGCCTTGTACATTCTAATAGATAGTATAAGGGACTCGATTTAACCGAATTTGTTCTTTTCTTTAGTCAATCTTGATTTAATAATTATTCATTCTTTTACGTAAAAGGGTCAGTGTATGGAGCCTGCGGAGCCATCCAATTCGAGTGTGATAACGGCAGCTGCATTTCGAAATTCGAAGTATGCGACGGAACCAAGAACTGCCCAGATGGATCGGACGAAACGGGCCTCATCTGTGTCTCGCAGCGAAATCAGTGCACTAAGCCTTACTTCACGTGCAGCTACGGCGCATGCGTGATCGGCACGGCGCCCTGCAATGGCATTATTGAGTGTGCCGATGGCTCGGATGAGACGGTTTTTCTCTGCGGCACAAGTGACGTCAAGCGACAGATTGAGTCGAATTTGAAGGGAAACTGCATGTGAGTAGTCCGTGTGTTGTGGTTGGCCAGATCTGAACAGTGCTCTGATTGACTTTAGGGACGAGGAGTTCAAGTGTCCCTCCGGCATATGCCTGGAGAAGAGCACGTATCTGTGCAATGGCTACGACGACTGTGGCGACGGCACCGGCTATGACGAGTCTGTCAATTATTGCGGACACATCGAGTGCCCGGGCTATGCCTTTAAATGCGCCAGCGGCGGCTGCATCGCCGGCAATCTCATTTGCGATGGCAAAGCGGATTGCTTTGATACTTCCGACGAGGCGCCGCTGCTGTGCAACACCTCCTCCGTAACCACCCAGCCACCGGTCGTACTGCCGACGAGCCTGTCCGGTTGCCCGTTGCCTCACGGCGATGAGCTGCCCATATTGAAGGATAAGTACGGCACGTATCTAAAACCGCCCATAAACATGATAACGGTCTTCTTCTCCTGCAAGCCTGGCTACGTTTTGGAGGGCGCAAAGGAGAGTCGCTGTGCTAATGGACAGTGGAGCCTCGACGTGGTGCCGAAATGCGTGAGTGAGTAGTGCAATATTTCAGCACCCTCTATGTGTCTAATGAAAAACCTTGTCTTACAGAATATTGCGACACTTGGCAAGACTCTGAGGGCCGCCCCAAGAACCTGCTCCATGGCTATTCGACCAACCCCACCTGCACGTATGAGGGACAAGCGGTCAACTGCTCCGCACGCTACCATCCGCCTGGCACCGAGGTGACTTTCATCTGCGCCACCGGCTTCAGATCGAGCAACATACTGACACAGCCGACTATGAAGTGCATGGCCGGCGGCTACTGGAGTCGTCAGCGCGTGCCCTGCTACCAGGAGTGTGGCCAGATAGCCACACCTATCACGCAGTTCTCGTCCAACGGTTATTCCATCAACAACACGGTGGTGCCATGGCACGTCGGCATTTACGTCGGGCACAACGAAAAGGACTACAACTTCGTCTGTGGTGGCTCCCTGCTCACCCCCGACCTGGTGATCACGGCTGCCCACTGTGTGTACAGCGAGGTGAGCAAGAATGCTTACGATGCCAGCACGTTTCGTGTGGTTGCCGCCAAGCTGTACAGGGGCTACAATAAAGTCACCAATGAGGATAGGAGGCGGGAAGTGGAGTCAATTATAGTTGCTCCGTAAGTAAACAAAATACTGGCATAGGGATCACGGAATATCCTTCAAATATTACCACGAAAAAGGAACTGTTATCTTTTAATACACACAGTTTCCAATAGATACTACTACGAATGACTGCTACAAACTTAATACAATTATTTCTTCCAGTAAATATAAGGGCCGTGAAGATAATTACAAAAACGACATAGCCCTGATCTTCTTGAGCGACCCATACAAGCTGAGCAACGTCGTTCGACCGGTGTGTGTGGAGTTCTTCAGCTTTTCCGAAAAGGAGAACATCAACAACGACGTGCAAGGCCAGTTCGCTGGCTGGAATTTCAAGGACGAGCGTGAGCTGCAGTTTGTGCCAGCCAAATCGCAAATGAACTCCGTATGCCAGGCCAGTCTGTATGACATCAGTTCCGATAAGTTCTGCATGTACACCCAGGGTACATCCCTGGCCTGCCACGGCGACAGCGGAGGCGGATTTACGGCGAAGCGGGAGATGCTCGGAGACGTTCGGCTGACCTTCTCTCGCGATCGATTCCGTCACTACCTGTACGGTGTCATCAGTAGTGCTCCGAGCGCCGGACAGTGTGCCGAGAGCTTAACAACACTGACGAATATCCAACACTTTGAGGATCTAATTAGAACAGCCATGCAAAAGAGTTTTGATGTCAACGCTTAGTCCTGAACTCATTGAGCTTAGATATAAAAAATATTTAATATTACATTATATATATAAAAGTACTCCTGAGAGAAATCTTTTCTGAATCCTGTAAATGCGCACATCTCCTTAAGCCAAGACGTAAGCCATAAAAAAGTAAAGCTATCAAGCAACAAACGATAGTTGTCTCTGATGTCTATCAACTATCAACCTATAACTAAGTTTTTCTCTTACTGTCCTCACTTAATAGTACTTAAAACCAAATATTTGTATGTGTACTCTCCTTTAAAATTCTCTTATTGTTTACAAAGAATGTATTTGAAATAAAGTACTCAAATTAGCAAGCTACTGTTAAACGGTATCCTGTTTTAATTTCTTATTCAATAAAAAAAAATTTCTTTATTCTTTCTTTTTGCGTTTTCAAGTTGGGCTGATTTTTTAAGTATTTATTGATATATTGAAAAGGGAAATATTCACAATGATAGAAAGTATTTTCCGATCGATAAGTTTAGGCTATTCTATAAAATGCCTTAATAATGTTAAAAATATTTTATGACACATTTACTGTATATCGACATGACAGTATTATAAAACAGATAAGTAAAGTCAAATATGGCAAGATTTTTTTTGAAATTGAAATTAGAAGATTATTTCTCGAAGAAAATAAAAATATTGAATAGTAAGGAACGGAGGCAATGAATAGTGTTAATATGTTTCATATATATTTTTTTACTTAAAATTCAAATATATAGTTTGGACAAAATATTTACAAATATCATAAGAATATTAAAATTGAAAAAAATATTCCTAACAAAATGTATGTTGAATGGGTTGGTTTTAATAATATATACATAT